GGAAGGAAGGAAGGAAGGAATGGGCAGTTTCTCAGCAAAGGACTTCCTTCGCCAGTCATCCAGACATGTTCCTGAGCTGCTGCCACACAGCAGAAGGCCACCAGCTATAAGTAGAGCTCTCTTTGGAAAGCAAGCTGTGAGTATATGGAAACAGGCTTGGCGAAAACTTTTAAAAGAGGCTCGTAACCATTAAAATAATGATATAGTAACATGAAAAACTGCTCACAATCTACAATTAAAGAAGAAAAGTATTATACACAACTGAGACTATGTCTGAGTACAACTATGCAGAAATAATGCTGGCACAGGGATGGGGCTGTTCAAAATGGCTTGTACTTGTTAAGCACTTCTTTTCCCATGAGTCAGGCTCTGCGTGGAGTCCTTTACAAGGGTTATCTCACTCAACCCCCCGATAACCCTGAGAGGGGGGTACCAGGGGACATGCCAGCCCAGTGACACTGGGCTAAAGAGCCTACACTTTCTGTTTTGTTTTATTTTGTTCTGAGGTGCACAGAATTGAATCCAGGGCTTCACATGCACAAAGTTAAGTGTACTACCATAGCACTGTTCCTCCCTACACACCAGCCCCAGAAGCTATACTCTTAACCACTGGCTTGAATCTTTGGCAAGAATGAGTATGTAAAAGAAAAAACAAAACAGCCTGGCGTGGCGACACACATCTGTAATCCCAGCACTCGGACGGCTGAGGCAGGAGGATCTCTGTGAGTTCGAGATCAGCCTGGGGCACAAAGTGAGCTCAAGGCCAGCTTGAACTGCCTAGCGAGACCTTGTCTCAAAAAAAGACAAACAAGAAAAAAGAAAAAGAAAAAAATCTAAGCCAGGCCTGGTGACGCAGGCTTGTAAACCAGCTATTCAGGAGGCTGAAGCAGAAAGGTTGCAAGTTCCAGGTCAGTCCGAGCAATTTAGCAAGACCCTGTCTCAAAATGAAAATAAAAAAGGCTAGGAGTGCGACTCGGTGGTAAAGATCTTGCCTAGCACGAGTGAGGCTGTGGGTTCAATCCCCAGTAATGGCGTTGAGGGACGATACTGACGAGTCCCGAAGCCAACATCAAACGCAAAACTTTGAGTTTCCTTTCTGGGAAAGAAAAAAAGAACACTTCAAACTCCTGCCGCGCGAGGGCGCTAAAGGACGCGCTCCACGGGTAGGCGGGGCCCAAACGCCGCAGACTGCGCTTGCCCAAGCTGGCGATCCCGAGACTGAAGTCCTTAGGCGGGGGTCTGCGCACAGGGCCCCGGCTGCGCTCAGACTTCCTCCCCGGGCCTGGGATCCAGAGACTCCCGACACTGTTACCCGGGAACCCCAGACCACAACACCCTGGCTTGCCCTCTCCTAAACCCCACCACTAAACTGAATTTTTAAGAGCTGCCGTCTTCATCTCACTGTGGAGAAGGGGCCCCGATCCAGGGCCGCCCCTCTTTCATCTCTATGTGAGACTTCAACAGATTTCTCAGAGACCCGCGGGAGAAGTGGGGGTGTCTAAGCCGGAAGTCACCACGCTACTTTCTAGGGAGAAGGGATTTTGAGAAGCAGAAACCTCTGCATCCTGTCTCCGCAGGAAGGGGGCGGTCTGAATGGGGGGATCCAGCCCAGCCACTCCATTGAGATAAACCTCGACGAAAACGTCTTGAACCCTCTCCGCTGACTCCAGGTGCTGGGGTATCACGACAGGGGCGCGCACTGACACACAGTACTGAGCAAGGAAACACCCACCGCGACCACCAGCAAAGTAGAATGCGCCCTCGTCCCCCACCCCACGCCCCAGATCTCAGCCCCAGCAGGCCCGGAAGACCCACTCAGCCGCCCTGAATTGGGCTTCACGCTGCTGGTTTATTCAGTGGTTTAATACACATCAGCAGATGGCCTCGGGGCAGAGGCCCTCAGCCCAGGCCCTGTGGTCTTCCCCATCCCGCGGGGGGATGGACTTGCGCATCTGCATGCAGAGCACTTCGTCGATATAGATGGTGTTCTCTTTGACCTGGATCTCCTCCTGCAGGGCGAGTTGTCTGCGATTCAGCCCGTTCAGCTCTACTTGAGCTTGGGCCAAGGTTTCCTTCAATCTAGGGGAACCAGAAGAACACGGAATTTCTCTCTGCGTTGCTTTTTTCAAGGGGAAAAAAAATCTATCTGGGTTCGAAGTCAGACTGATATGCACTCTTTGGCTCTCTCTCGCTTCCTTAAAATAGAGATTTCTGATTGATGACCAACGGGCAGGACTATGACACAGAAAACTCCATGAAAGGCAATGGTTAAAACTGCAGGTTTTATCTAAACATCTGGATTGGGCTCCTTCAGAAGTATGTCAATATTGGGACCCATTTCCTGCATGGCAAGAACTTTGGCTGGACTTAGTACTGGCCTCACCCATTACAAAGCTGGCTGCATCTTCTCTGGCCACTGGCGAAGCACTGCTTGCCAGCTGGTTTGGGGCCCCTCGGCTGCAAGCCACTGGCCTACCTTGCCACGTTGTGGTTGATTTCCTGAACCTCCTTGAGGAGCCGATACTGAGCGACATCACGACATAGCTCCACATTGGGCCGGTGAGTCCTGGTCTCCAGGCGCGTGTGAGCCACCTTGGCAGGTCCTTCTTGGTCGAGGATGGCTTTTTCGAGAACTGCAATATTTTTCTCCTGGGAAGCAATCTCTTCCATGACCTTATGGAAAGGATGAGAGCAGGTGAGGGCAGGTTCTGCTCCCCAAAGTTCAACAGCACATAGCAGATCTGTTGTGATCACAGGTTTCTACCTAAGCAGGACCTCAGAATGAGCTTCATCTTTCTTCCCTAAAGCGGTGATCACCGGTGGGCAAGGTTCCCAGCAGACCTTAGAATCTCACAGATGCAGAGGGTACAACTGGCCCTTGTTGCCTTATTGCCCACCCAAATGTTGTGAATTCCCTCGAGAAGACCCTCAGCAGAGGCTTGTCCAGCAAAGGGCTTAGACTGGGGCTCAAGGCCACTCACCCATTTTGGTACAATGCATCTCTGCATCAGGAGCAGAAAGCTGCCTACTATATTTCCCTGTAACTCCCCCACCAGCACCAGTTCTGTCTCTCAGAAGCAGTCTGAGTTTTATTTTTGAAGGTGGCTCTGTACATAAGAAAGATACTTATAAACTGCTCTGATTTTAAAATTAGTATGTAGGCAGGAATGGCAGCTCAGTAGTGGAGTATTTGTCTACCTTGTGCAAGTCCTTGGGTCCCATCCCCAGCACATCCCACCCTAACATTTTTATTTCTTCCTTGGGCTTTTTTTTTTTTTTTTTTAACTTTGCATCATGGAAACTTCCAAACATGCACAAAATGAAAGAGTAATGAACCTCATGTACTCATCACCAGTTTAAGCAGTGATCAATGTATCATCTTGTTTCATGGGTATCTCCCTCTCCCCATCCCAGACCATCAGCTTACTTTAAAGCAAATCCCAGCTATTATATCATTTCAGACACAAATACTTTAGTACACATTTCCAAGATATAAGGATTCTGTTTTCACTTAGCATAATCATAATGCTTTTATCACACCAAACGAGAGAATACGCCTGACTACCAGCTCATATCTAGTATTCAAATTTCCCTGATTGTCTATATTTTAAGAATTGGTTTGGAGCTGGGCATACTGGTACATGCCTGTAATCCCAGCATTTGAGAGGCTGAAGCAGCGGGACAGCCGAGAGTTCAGGGCCAACCTGGGCTACATAGTGAGTTCAAGGCCAGCCTGAAGCACATAGCCAGACCCTGTCTCAAAAAAAAAAAAAAAAAAAAAAAAAAAAAAAAAAAAAATTGGTTTGTTCAAATTAAAACTTAAGTGAAGTGCACATGTTTCATTTGATTTTCTCTTCTTTGTTTTCTGTCTTTTTGAGACAGGGTCTCTGTATGCAGTTCAGCCTGGCCTTGAGCTCACTTTGTAGCCCAGGCTGGTCTTGAACTTGCAAGGATCCTCCTGCTTCAGCCTCCTGAGTGCTGGGATTACAGGCATGCACCGCCATGCCTGGCTACATTTGATTTTCTTAAGCTTTTTCTTAACATTTCTTAGGTTCAGTTCACAGACACTATACAATTTTTAAAGTTATCTCTATTAATCATTCTAAATTGATTATGTTTAATAGTTATTATTACTTTAAACTTAGCTAAAATCCTTTAAACATTTATTTAGAGAAGCATTTATAAGTGTGATGTATTTTTTAAATACTTGAATTATCTTTTTTTTTTTTTTTTTTTTTTTATCCGGTACCGGGAACTGAACTCACGACCTTGCGCTTGCCAGGCAGGCGCTTTTGCCGCTGAGCTAAATCCCCAGCCCCTACTTGAATTATCTTAACAAGCAAGGCCTTCTGAAGTCTTTAAATAGATCACACCAATGTAATATAGTAAAACTGATGGTTCATAAATTCTCTTAAATATTCCAATATTCTTCAAAATTAGTAAAATTTCCACTTAAAATCATTAGTCTAAATCAATTAAATGACCGGGATGCACCACCATGCCCGGCTGATTATTTAATTGCCTTTTAAATTAGACTTTTTGAATGCACAGATTCTTTAAAACAAAACTGCTGTTGGTTAAGTCAGGAATCAGTAAACTTCCCTAAGGGCCAAACGCAGTTTACCATCTGCTTCTGAGCAAAGTGTAAAACAAGAATTTTTAGTCTGACAGCCTTGCTTGTTTTACAGAAAAATTAGACAGAAGGTACAGAGTTCCCACAGTGCCCCTTTCCCCCGTTCCTCAGTTTTCTTGGTATCATCTTGCACAGATATGACACATTCATTACAACTGATGAACCAATATTGGCTCATGACTATTAACTGCAGTCCAAAGTTAACAGGGTTTATTCTTAGTACTGTACATTCCATGAGTTCCGAGCAGTGTATAGTTATACACACCCACCATCATACAGAGCAAGTTGCACTGCTCTAAAAGCCCTCTACGCCCCACCTCCTCATCCCTCCTCGCCTCCTCCACTCACCTCCGCCTCTGAAAAGCACTGACTGTTTTTACTACCACCACAGTTCTGCCGTCTCCGGGATCTCATCCAGCTGTAACCACACGGTGTGGATTTCACCTTGGCTTCTTTCACTTAGCAATATGCATCTAAGTTGCCTTCATGTCTTACTGTGACCTGACCATTCGTTTCTTCTTAGAACAATATTCCATTACATGGATGTATCACAGTTTGTTTGTTTATCTAGGTCCACTTAGTGAAGGTTATCTTGATCACTTTCAAGTTTTGGTGATTAAGAATAAAGCCACTATAAACATACATATATGTGCTTTTATATGGACATACATTTTCGACTCACTCGGGCAAATATCAGGGAATGAGATTGAAAATCTAAGTGCATGTTTAGTTTGTAGGGAGCTGCCACACTGTTCTCCAAAGTGGCCGTCCCAGTTTGCTTTCTGTCCAGCAATGAGTGAGAATTCCTGTTGCTCCACCTCCCACCAGCATCTGAAGTTGTGTTTTGGATTTTCTATAGGTGTGTAAGGATATCTCGTTGTTGGTTTAATTTGAAATTTCCTAATGACATCTGATGTTGAACATCTTTTGATATGATTATTGCCCACCGGTTTATCTTTGTTGGTGAGGCACCTGTTCATAACTTTTGCCCATGCTTAATTGTCTTTTATTGTTGAGTTTTAAGAGTGCTTAGTATATTTCGCGTAACAGTTCTTTGTCTGATAGGTATTTTGCAAATATTTATCTCCCAGCTTGTGGCTTATCTTTTCATTTTCTGAAATTTTTAAAGCTTTACATTTTTAAATGACTGGGGAAAAGTCAAAAGTAAGAATATTCAGTGTCACGTGGAAATGACACAAAATTTAAATTTTACTGTTCGTCAATAGAGTTGTTTTGGAACACAGCTGTGACCATCATTTATTTACGACTGCTTTGGAACTACAATCGCAGGGTGTGGTAGTGGCAACAGACGGTGTGCCACGTGTCCGCTGCTTTGCACTGTGGCCCAGAGCACCACAAATCAGTGCCATGTCACCACTTGGTAGCTTTCCAACCATGTATCACAACCGGACAATGACAGCTTATTTTACTGTTTTTTTACCAGGGTGTCTTCATCCATTCCTACTGCTACTTTTTTTTTTTTTTTTTTGGTTTTTGGTTTTTCTCCGGTACCGGGAACCGAACTCACAACCTTGCGCTTGCCAGGCAGGCGCTTTTGCCGCTGAGCTAAATCCCAGCCCCCTACTGCTACTTTTTAAATGCCTGAGTAACTCATAAAGAATGTATTTCTCAGGGTTCTGTTGGCTGAAGAGTTCAAGATCAAGGTATCAGCAGATCTGCAGTTTTGTGAGGGCAACGCTCTCTGCTAGGAGACTGAGACCTGTCGCTGCTTCTTCCAGAGGGGATGAGTGCCTGTCCCCCCAGAAGGCAGAAGGGCAGAAAAGCCCCCTACTTCATCTAACCCTTCTGTACAGCTCTAAACCCAAGGTGGGCATCACCTCCTAACAGCCCGCCTCTCACTGTTGCCTTGGGAATTGAGTTTCAACATGAATTTTGGAGGGGACACAAACCTTCAAACCCCAGCACAATGCATCCGCATTATGTCAGAAGAAGAAAATAAGGCATCGTGCATTGCGCTGTTAAGTCCCAGTGCAGCATGGGTTTTGTTAATGAATTAGATGTCAAACCATTGCCTTTATTACACAACAACACAATAGCTGTGCTGAAAGAGTACCATATACACAGACGTTATCACTCTCAGCATTTATCACAATATTCTCAACTCACAGGAAATCAATGATCAGGAAAATAAGAAAATTTAAAACAGAGTACTTCAGAATTGCAGAGTATCTCAAAAAGGAAAATGAGGCTGCAATCAAATTAAAGTTCCAAGTGGTTCATCTGTTAGACAAGCCAGCAAATTAATTTACCAGTTAATTAAATCATACTTGACCACGACAACTGTGGAAGTGCCCAGAGAATATAAATTTGCTTAAGACTATTAGTCTTTCTGCAGCCTAGCTGCTCAAAGAGTTAAGGGAATGAGGAGTAGCATCGGTAACAATCACTGAAGAAAACAAGGTCCAAGACATGATGTTGTGTAGCTTCCTTTGCTCTTAATGAGTTGGCAGGTCTTCTGACACGGCTCGGTTGGTTTTTATTCAGAGAGTCAATGCTGAGTTTCTTTTTTTGTTGTTCATTTGTTTGTTTGTAGTACTGGGGATTGAACTAGGACCTTCACACCGAGCTAAATCCCCGGCCCTTTCCTAATTTTTATTTTGAGGTAAGGTCTCTCTAAATTGCCCAGGCTGGCCTCAAGCTCTCGATCACCCTGCATCAACTTCCCCAGGTGCTGTGACTGCGGGTGAGCACCACCATGACTCAGTTCTGAGTTTCAAGTGACTAAAGAATTAGCCTCACCAGGGTAATTAGCTAATTGGTGCCACCTGTCATCCCAGCCCTTGGGAAGTTGAAGCAGGAGGATCTTGAGCTTCAAAGCAACCTGGACAACTTAGCAAGACACTGACTCAAAACACAGTTAAAATACTGTAGAAAGGGCTGGGGATATGTAGCTCAATGCAAAGAGCCTGAGTTCAACTCCTAGAAACCAGACATAGACACAGACACACACAGAATTAGCCTCTACGAATACAGTAAGTCCCCAACTTACAAACGAGCTCCATTCCAGAAGAATGTTGATAAATCAGATTCATTCATAATCCGACAAAGTCTTACACAATGCACCTGTGCAACTTCAAAGCTTGAATGTAAGTCAGCGACTTACTGTATTCTGCATAAGGTAAATGTTTTCAAAAAGTTGAGAAAATGATAATTCAATACAACCTAAAGTGGAGTATGCTAAGTGGTGATTCAAATTATTTGTTGAATAGAGAGGCTTAGTTGAATTTACAGAACTTGTGAAAATGCAAGTGATTTAAAGCCTATGCGTATTCATGGCATGACTCATCAGAAGGTAGTCTGAGGAAAGTATTTGGACCTGTCACGTGACACAGTACTGGTGTCATCAATGGTGAACTTCACTAGCTCTCAGATACCTGACTTTCATCCCGTCTATGAATTCTTGTCAGAAATAGAAACCGAATATCTCCATATGCCTTGCCACTCAGCAAATCAATGGGGTAGCAGTGGCAAAATTTTCTCGCAGTTGTTTCATCTCAGGGCCAAGACTGAAATTTTCTGAAAAAGAAGAACCGCCCTCTACCACCATTAGCAAATGCTGAATGGTTTTGGAAATTAGCTTTCGCTTCAGATTTATTTTAAAATATTTCTTTCTGAATCCAGTCTAAAATCACAAGACAAGAAGACAGCATCTATATGCAAAGCTCACACTGCAGTAGTCATTGCAACAAGCAACATGATTTTATTTAAAAGTGATATCAAGCTGTTTTATACATTTTCTATGCTATCAAAAGTTAAAACAAGAAACAAGACCTCCATCCCATGCAGATCTGCAACAAATATGCCACTTCCATTCAGGTGGCTATGTCTCTTGATCGGATTTGGAGTTTTGGCTAAGTGATCTTCCTTATTAATCCCCAATGCCTTCTAACTCGATGATGGATGGATGGATGGATGGATGGATGGATGGACCTTTCTCTTAGACTACAAGTCTTCTGAATACTAAAATGCTTCCAAATCTAAAACTCTTAAAGACATAGGCTTAGGCAAGAACTTTCTGAACAGAACCCCAGTTGAACAAGAATAACATGAAGAATCAACAAATGGAATCATATCAATTTAAAAGCTTCTGCACAGCAAAGGAAACAACCAACAGAGCAAAGCAACAACCTACAGAATGGGAAAAAAATTTGCCAGCTACTTCTCAGACAGAAGACTAATGTCTAGAATACATAAAATAAAACTCAAAAAATTAGACTCTCCCTAAAATAAAAGACCCAATCAAAAAATGGCCAATTGATGAACCAGCCACATCTCAGAAGAAGTACATATGGCCAACAAACGCATGAAAAAATGTTCAACACCTCTGGCCATTACAGAAATGAATATTAAAACAACAACAAGGTTTCGTCTTACTCCAGAAAGAATGGCCATCATCAAAAATCAAATAATAAATGCAGTGATGAGGCTGCAGGAAAAATGAAACCCTTCCACAATTCTGGTGGGAATGTAAACTAATGTAACCATTATGGAAATCAGTATGGAGAGTCCTCAAAAAACTAAAAGTAGAAATTCCAGCTGGGCATGGTGGCACACACCCATAATCCCAGCACTCAGAAGGCTGAGGCAGGAGGACTGCTGTTGAGTTTGACACAACATAGTGAATTCAAGGCCAGCCTGGTCTACAGAGTGAGACCCTGTCTCAAAAAACAAAAAAAATAGTCGGACGTGGTGGCGCATGCCTGTAATCCCAGCACTCAGCTGAAGCAGGAGGACTGTTGCGAGTTCAAGATCGGGCTGGGCTACAAAGTGAGCACAACTCACCATAATAGCTAAATCTTGAAAGTGGTTTATACGTCTATCAACAGAAGAATGGATAACAAAAATGTGGTAGTTATATACAGTGGAGTACTACTCAGCCATAAAGAAGGATAAATTTGAATCATTTATAGGAAAACGGATACACTTGAGACCATAATGTTAAGTGAAATAAATCAGACACACAAGCTTAAATATCACATGGTTTCTCTTACATGAGAAATCTAAAAAATAAATAGCAAAATAAAAGGTAGACAATAGGAAATAGAACTTTTGTAAATGGAAAGGGGACCAAGAAATAGAGCAAGAAAGGGAGGGGTGGGGATAGTGACAAGAAAAGAACTGAGATGTGCTTAGTCCATGTACCAACTCCCCATAAGGAATGTAATTATTATGTACTGCACAGAGGTATTTAAAAATAAAAATAAAAATTGGGGGAAAAAAGAAAAACTGCAGCTTCAGGACACAAAAATAAAATAAAATGATTTCAGATTTTAAATTTTGGTTCTCTTTCATGGTTCTGTCTGACTTGAGGCCACGATCTCGAAGCCCATCCCATGCCGATGAACCTCCCTCTACCCTACACAGGAAGAGGGACAGAGCAACGACAGTCACCGCAGCCACTACGCATATGAAATGTGCCTGGTCCTGACATGTGCAGCTAGTGTCAAATGACCGTCCTTGGCATCCTCGGGCTCTGTACACACCAGTTCAGCCAACAGTGGATAGGAAATAGTCAAGAGTCCCAATTTTGATTCACAAGAACAGGATTCGAGCCCAGCACTGCCCTTACCCGATTTAAGTCTGTGGACTACATTTCTAACTTCTCTGGGCTTCTGTTTCTGCATTTCAAATCTGGGATACTAAAGTTTTACCTGATAGACCTTTTTTAAAGAAAAGAAAATATTCAAGGGGCTGGGGATTTAGCTCAGCAGCACAGCGCCTGCCTGGCAAGCGCAAGGTCATGAGTCC